ATAATGTGCTCACCCAGGACCCATATCTTAGATAGGAGGCCTATATTATTATAATGTGCTTATCCAGGGCCAACATCTTAGATAGGAGGCATGTATTATTATAATGTACTCACCCAGGACCCATATCTTAGATAGGAGGCCTGTATTATTATAATGTACTCACCCAGGACCCACATCTTAGATAGGAGGCCTGTATTATTATAATGTACTCATCTAGGGCCCATATCTTAGATAGGAGGCCTGTATTATTACAATGTGCTCATCCAGGGCCCATATCTTAATAGATAGGACACCTGTATTATTATAATGTGCTCATCTAGGGCCAATACCTTAGATAGGAGGCCTGTATTATTATAATGTGCTCATCATCTGGCCCATATCCTAGATAGGAGGCCTGTATTATTATAATGTGCTCATCTAGGGCCCATAACTTAGATAGGAGGCCTGTATTATTATAATGTGCTCATCTAGGGCCCATAACTTAGATAGGAGGCCTGTATTATTATAATGTGCTCATCTAGGGCCCATAACTTAGATAGGAGGCCTGTATTATTATAATGTGCTTATCTAGGGCCCATATCTTAGATAGAAGGCCTGTATTATTATAATGTGCTCATCTAGGGCCAATACCTTAGATAGGAGGCCTGTATTATTATAATGTGCTCATCTAGGGCCCATAACTTAGATAGGAGGCCTGTATTATTATAATGTGCTTATCTAGGACCCATATCTTAGATAGGAGGCCTGTATTATTATAATGTGCTCATCCAGGGCCCACATCTTAATAGATTGGACTTCTGTATTATTATAATGTGCTCATCTAGGGCCAATATCTTAGATAGGAGGCCTGTATTATTATAATGTGCTCATCCAGGGCCAATACCATAGATAGGAGGCCTGTATTATTATAATGTGCTCATCATCTGGCCCATATCTTAAATAGGAGGCCTGTATTATTATAATGTGCTCATCCAGGGCCAATATCTTAGATAGGAGGCCTGTATTATTATAATGTGCTCATCATCTGGCCCATATCTTAAATAGGAGGCCTGTATTATTATAATGTGCTCATCATCTGGCCCATATCTTAGATAGGAGGCCTGTATTATTATAATGTGCTCATCTAGGGCCCA